CTGCCTCGTCTTCCCCTGATGCTTTTGGGGCACTGAACCGTGCAGGCCTGGCTGCTTAGAGCAAGAAACACTTTTGTCTTTATTTCGTCATGATCGATAGTTTGGCTGCCATTCGGTTTCTTGTTTCCAGTTGCCACGTTGCGTTTGTAACGAATGTGCAGCTCTGCAACAAACACAACGGGAACATTTTACTGCGCAGTTCATGTTTCACTCAGTAGATCATAACTAAACTCGGAGTTCACGTCTTCTTTAATGAAAAAAAACCAAAAAACTGAAAACGTGATAAAATTTAAATTATTAACCCTAGTGATCAGTCGGGATCCTAACTCATGCAGTGGAGGTGATATCGCCTGACTTCGCGGTGGTAAGCAAGGGATTTTTGGACTTCCAAATAGGCGAAAAAATAAATCAGGGTATTTAACTCATGTGAGTGACAAAAATCTCTCAAAAAAATTATTTTCTGTCGACAGTGAATTATTAAAGTAGGCTTTTGGTTTTCTTTTTTCAGTGAAATGTTTATACTATATGTCCAATGGTCTAATTTCACAGTCGCTGAATGCTCCTTCGGGATGGGAGGTACTGCCTATAACGGCCCATACGGGGAGGATCTTCCCCAAAGTCTTCAGGTATGTAAAAGGAAGGGATTTCACAAGTTGAAGTATATGAAAGGGTAGGGAAATCTGAATTTTCGATATTTTAAACGAACTTCAATCAAAATATTTTGAATAGCCGCACCTTATGGCTGTATCATTTCATTTATTAAGTACTACATAGAAATGAAGAGAAGATTTCCTTTTTTGGCGATTAATCTATAACACGGGCCGATTATGGCCGGCGCTCCTGAAATTTGAATTAACCAATCAGGATTTAGCAAGCGGGAAAACCTCTACTGTCCTGACGTCAAATGCATGATAATGGAGTCAGGCATCTTTTCTCACTGGAGACGGCATTAGATATTTTCTTAAACTCCAAAAACCGATGATGATGACTCCAAAGACCATATCAGAATGTAAAGAGTAAAATATTTTGTGTCTTCAACCTTTTGATTTGGCGCCAAAATGAGTCGCTCGCGCTCGGCAACTCGCTCTTCGATCGCTGTCGCAAGGTAGAAAAATGGTTGTCATTTTGAACAAAATATAATTTTCCTCGTCAAATTAATCCCCAGATTTCACGAGTTAAGCATTAGAAGAAGCCAAAGCAACTTACAATTGTCTTTGCTTTTTGTTAGCTGTGAAAAAAGACTATTATCGTGTCGTTTCGGTAGGACAGCTCAGTTTTGACTGCCGGTCATACTTCGGGCGCAGTCACCGAATGCAAGGTACGAAAGGAGTGCCTCCCCGCATAAAACTTTGAAGGGTACCCCACCCCCGACGGAATGCTTCAGACATTTCCTTTTCCTATAAGCACGCATCAACAATTTCACCGCTGATCTCTTAACTTCTGTAGGCGCGTATCGAGCAAATATTCTAAAATGCTATGCGAAACTATTTTTTAATTCTTTCCCCCCAATAAAATACGTTTAGAAAACACTCTAGCGGACCTTCAGACATCATAGCGTGAGTTTTCGTAATATTCAGGCTATGACGTTATAAGATTTGTTGATGCTGAATAGTTTTATTGTCTTTTAGTGGACGCTGGGTGACGCAAATTTCTTCTTTTCGGTCTCATAAGGGAAAGGGAAGCGTATGGTGTATATGTAGTACGATTAACCCTTACCAAGTTGTAAACTTTGAATTTATCGTGTATGAGTTTTTAAAGGACATCAGGTGTCGATTCGGTAGGAATCCTGTTTCAGCTTTTTCCGTTTCAGCTGTAGCTTCTTCAGGGCAAACGAAATTCCTCGTCTAACTGTTTTCTCAATGATGCTAGTTCTCACCTTTGTTAGACTCACTGTGTGACATTTTCATCACAGATTCTTTGTCTTCGTGTGCTGCGTTTCGTTGCTCGAGCCTTTCTTCTCTTTGTTGACTTAAGACTTGAAGCATTTGTCGATGAACGTGAAGTTTCATCTCGACGTTAATCAACCCGCAAAGGCAAATAACGTGAGACAGAAATATCGCTGAAAAGACCACCGTGCTCGAGACTGGGCGAGTCTCTGTTTTCTCCATAGATCAGTTCCTCGAGACTTCCAGAATTACCCAGTGGATGGAAATATCTGATATACAGGAAGTGAAACTTGCGCCTTCAAGATCAAAACTAGACTAAAACACGATGCATGTCATGACACTGGGGCTAACCCTTGTTTGACCTTCAGTTCCGGTTTCAGCTTACGGCATTGGATAGAATTTCCTAGTGTGTAATTTTGGTTCATGATTTTTATTGTCCGGGAAATAGCTGCACTCTCTGGAGAGAAAAGAAGGGTCTTATTGACACCTCCAAAATTTGATGTGTGACGAGCAAAGGGTCCATAATTGTCATTAAAGATGTGTCTATTATTCATTGTGGTGTAAGATAGGATAGACGAATTTTTTACTCGTTTGTCTCACTATGGAGTCACTAAGATGTAGATCGCGACGTTTCGACTGCTATACTGCTAGTCTTCATCAGGCGATGAGGTCAATTGTTGCGTGTCGGGTCCATAATTCTTGCGCGAATTGCTTCAACGACAGCGGTGGAAATTTCTCACATAGAGAAGTGTTTTTATTTTCATCTTTTTGCCTCGTGCACGAGAGGAAAGAGTGAGTTCGGTAAATTCATATGTAAGAAACTCCTGTGTAACCAGTCTTTGCGTTCCTAATGAAAGATTCCTGTAAAGGGCGATAGATAGATAGGTAAATAGATAACTTGCTTGCGTTTAAATCAAATTTGACAACAATAATGTAATTTCAATTACAGGCTTAAAATGTTGAAGTGACGGGCTTTGTCACGCAGAGAAATCTAAAGAGACAATGAGTGGATTAAAAACGAACCTCTTTAGCGCATTTTCTGCGAATATGCAAACAGGTATTTGTAACTCACAATAATTAATTGTTAGGTCCATGATCAATATCTCATTGTATATATACCACCATGGGTCAGATCAGGGCATCAGGAACGAATTCAATCAATCAATCAATCAATCAATCAATCAATCAATCAATCAATCAATCAATCAAGCTAAATACCTACTCTGACACTTAAATAAAGTTATTATTATTATAACGCCTGCTTTCTGTTTGCTTTACATTTTATTTTTAGCATGACAGTAGCCTGTGTGAAGGCTAGCATGAGAGCATATAGTCTAAACTTTGAAGCAGTACGCGAATTACCCCGAACTTAACCGTTCCCACATTCCGACACATTAGCTTGAATTAACCTGTGTTCGCAAATGTGACAATGCTGACTATTATCTTTTGCCCACATTGTGGAGGCAAAAATTGACTGAGTGCAACTGACGAAAACAAAGTTTTTCCCATAATAACATCGATCACACAGAAGTGTTCCTATCATCCACAAACAGACCTTTTTCTTCTTTAACCTTAAGCACACCCACTGCTTTTGAATTTGCGGAAAATTCTATTTTAGTTTATTGTCATAAAAATTTAAAAAATATTTGTCTGAAGGCTTTTTTGACTATGATTAATTATTTACACAGCACGGAAATTTTTATTATATGAAGTATTACTAACTGCTCTGAAATGCTGCTAATGACGGTAAGAAGATCTACAGGGTAAATACACACTATTTACTGCTGGTTCATCAGCTGTTACCACTGAGATTACAAGTGGTCTTTGTCAGTCACTAAATTAATTAATAACTGAGGAATAAATGACCTGAAAGGCAATGGAATGCGTTTCTTTTTTTTTAATGATACTTGCAGATTTCTGTTAGCTTTGTAAAGCAGCTGTGAAGTCAGGTCATTTACTTCACGCCTGACCATAACACTTGAGTTTTCCTAATGTATGATATCCTTCTTCTTTTGGGCCATTCAAGTCTCCCAGTCTGATTTGTGTCACAGGCAGAGCAGACTTGTCTGTCAACAGACCGCTGTCCTCATTCCAACCATTGCCAGGACAATTACATTTCCTACCCGCGCTAGCACATGAGTTTGTCACTCCGCATGCGCACATCTTATCACGGTCCATAGCTCCTCCCCAGTAGTTCATCCGTGTTCCATCACGTGACACCCACCAAGCATAACTAAATTCAAGAAATGCTACGCTAGAACTGCACTCAAACTTGATAAACTGTTCACAGTTCTGTGAGACTCGAGTGAGTGCTGCTAGCTGAGCG